GCATGTCTTACCAGGTCGTCACTCCATCTAGTGGGGGTCGCCCTACACTACGCCTACCGGTACGAGGCTGCCACTCGAGAACTTTTCTTCCCCATCGGTTATCGGTTCTTCGAGCTATATGGCCGGCCCATTGCCACTTCAGCTTACTAATCCGTCGGGCTATGTCGGTCACTCTGGTTTTACTGCGGATATCCTCATTTCTGAGTCTATCACGCAGAGAAACTCCGAGCATAGCCCTCTCCATAGCTCGCTGAGCGACCTTGAGCGTCCTCATGCGGCCAGCAGTGAAGGACCACGTCTCCGATCCGTAAGTCATTACCGGCAACACGCACTGGTTGTACACTTTAGTTTTCAGAGATTGAGGTATACCTGACGAGAAGATGTGTCGTAATTTCCCGAACGCTGCCCAGCCGAGTTGAATCCGTCGATTGACCTCTCGGTCGAAGTTGGACTTACCTAGTCGGACTATTTGTCCCAGGTAAACGTACTCGTCAACAACTTCGAGCATAGTGCTCCCAACAACTACCGGCATAGGTATGACATGGACATTAAACATGATCTTTGTTTTGTCCATGTTCATCTTAAGACCTATCCGTTGGGAGACACCATTGAGGTCATTGAGCATAGTGCTAAGGTCCTCCAGGGAATTCTGCCATAAGGACTATATCATCGGCAAATCGAAGGTGAGTGATGTACTCGCCATTGATGTTAATACCGTATCCTTTCCAGTCCAGTAGCTTGAAAACGTCTTCCAACGCAGCGGTGAAGAGTTTCGGGGATATAGCGTCACCCTGTCTTACACTCTCTGCAGTTGGATAGGATTCGAACTCTGGTTCTGTACTCGGATAGCCAATGTAGCCCTACTGTACAAACACTTCAGCACTTCGACATACTGACAGTCAACTTGACACCGCTGAAGCAACTGTAGCACCGCCCAAATTTCGACGAAATCAAAGGCTTTCTCATAGTTCACATACGCCAGGCAAAGTGTCAGATTGTACTCTTCGGTCTTCTGTACAATCTGCCGCAGGGTATGTATGTGGTCTATGGTACTGAAGCCTTTTCGGAAACCGGCTTGTTCGGGAGGCTGGAAGTCGTCGAGTCTGCGTGCGAGACGATTCGTAATGACTCTCGAAAACAGCACGTAGACGCGGCTCAGAAGAGAAATCGGTCTGTAGTTCAAACTTTCTTCTAAAACCCACCACTTCTGCTCCACGCCTCCGGAGTAGTGCTACCATGGAGGACGGAATTGAAAAGCTTCTGAAGGACTTCAAGTACCGGTGTTCCACCCGCTTTCAGAAGCTCCGCTGTAATTCCATCCTCGTCTGGGGCCCTGCCGTTTTTAAGGTGCTGGAGAGCCATTCTAATCTCGCTCAGACTGACGTTCGGGATAACATTGGAATAGTGTCGGGTAAGACTTGCTCTTGGATCGTTACTCACACTTGCGTGTGGCTCCAACGATGATGTGTACAGCTGTCCATAGAACCTCTCAATCTCACTCAAAATCTCAGGTGTCTCAGAAACGATGCTCCCACACTCAGTCTTCAGCTTTGACAGTTGGCTCTTTCTGGCAGACAGATCTCTGGCAAAGACTTTGGAGCCCTGGTTCCGCTCGAGCGCTTCTTTAATACGAGCAGTATTAAAGTTGCGTAAGTCTCGCCGCATGCATTTGGAGATCTGTCTGTTCAGTTGCCTGTATGCTGTCAAATCTGTTGACGATTGCAGCCTCATCTCCCGTCTAACAGCCATGAGATTAAGAGTGTGATCGGAGAGTTTTTGTGTTCTTCTGCGGCGGGTCTTGCAGAACTTAGCTCCGACCGCATGGACAGTTTCCACGAGCTTGTCATTCATATCGTCCACTGCATTGCAATCTTCTAGGCACTGAAAGCGGTTAAGTAACTCGAGCTGAAAAGTCTCGGGATTCTGGATCAGAGCACGAGTGGGACGGAGCGTTGACTTCATTAGACGAGACCTCTCGAACTTAACGTTACGGTTCAGTGTGCCTCTAACCATTCGGTGATCGCTGCCGGTTTGCGATCACTGTGACATCACTGAACAGTTGGCGTCTGGTCGTCATAATGAAGTCAATCTCATTTTTTGTCGAACCGTCGGAGCTCGACCAGGTCCACTTCCTGTGGGGCCGCTTCTGGAAGAAAGATTTCATCATAAAGAGTCCCTCTTTCTCCATAAAGTCAGCCAGCTGCTGGCCCCTACGGTTCCGTTGCCCTACTCCAGATTTCCCTAACTTCAGCTCACCGCCTTCTCTTGTGCCTAGTTTTGCGTTGAAGTCAAAAATCAACACCGTGTAGTGGGTTTTGGAGGAATGCCTGGCTCTAGAGCCATGCATTCCTCCGAAACCTTCTTTCTAGAAATATCCTCATACATTTCCTCCACCTCCTCATCGGGATCCTACGACCTTCAGCGAATACCGTTTGGTGATTCTGAGTATCAGGTACGCGACCCTCGTCGAAACACTCCCAATCTTTACAAGGTTGTTGAGGAGAGACTTGTGGACGATAAATCCGACACCTCCTTGGGACAGATGGTCGCCCTCCCGGTGATAGAACAAGTTGCCGGACTCGAGGATTACCGTGTTCTCCCCCTCTCTTCGGACCTCAGATAATCCAATAATATCCCAGCGCAACTTGTCTACCTCTTCTTCCAGCTCCAGTGTCTTCTCGTCAGTCCTCAGGGTGCGTGTGTTATACGTTGCCAAGTCGAGTCGTCGTAGGTGGCAACCGAACCTCCACCGGATATTCTTAGCACCCCCTGCCCCGCCGTTACCATGGTCGCCACCGTAGCCAGGAATAGCGGGGCCGCCGGGGACTGGGGGCCGTTTATTTGCGTCGTTGGGGGGATATTTGCCATAGTTGCCACGCTTGGCGAGCGGGTTGGCAACCGCAGTTTTTTATTATGTTATTGTTGTTATTATGAAGATGCTGCTGCCCATCTCCTGCCTGTCTCCCTCTGTCGCCTCTTACGACACCCACGGGAAGATATGGGAAAGTGGATATTTTCAACCGCCACTACACGGTGAGTTATCAATGTATTGTTTAAATTTTGAAATCTACTCATTAGCTTCAGTTAACTGTAATTGTTATAATATATTATATTAGTATTAGTATTAGTATTAATATAATTTCCTCATATTTTTGCTGCATCGTTCAAACTCATCGACTGTCCCCTGGAGCTGATCCTTTTCCTTTAAAATATCTGTATAGTCTCTATGTAACTTTACCATATCACTTTCAACTGTGTATTTTTCGAAATTATTTTTATTTCCTTGTCATTGTCATCCCTTTCTTTAAAGTAACAGCTGACACTATTCCCTAGACGCCTTGAGTTCTTGAAGCACAAGATGAAGTTGGTTCTCCATGTGGCGCGTCTTGGCGTTGCGAGTATTCATTTTACTATGTATTTTAAATAGTAAAAGTAAACAAAGATGGAAAATTAAGGGAGCAGAGTAAGCAAATATCTAACTTAGGGACTCTAATAACAGATCTCAAATTAATTTATCAACAAAACAATTTAAAGTGAAATCCAAAAACAATAACAACACTTAAAAGATATAATATCGTAAATATTGAAAGGAATACAAGAATTATAGTAATTTTGAAACGATTTTTAAACGATTTTAATGTAATGTAGTTAGGTATTAATTTTGTATAATGTGTTGGGTAATGTATTTAGTATAGTTTAACTGTTTTTAATAGTTTTTTAACTTTTTTTATTGTCCTTTATTTTTACCTATCAACATCTTTATTTATTTCATTTTTTACAGTTGACTGGTAAATAACTAATTGACTGCCATAGGACATTAAGTCCGCCCTTTGTAACCTGTAGTTGAAGCTGTTTTATAAAGGATAAAATAATAATAATATAATTGCAGCACTGATGCGTCGGCTAGACCAAGGAAGGATCATGGCGTCACGAAGGTGTGCATTTGACGTTCAAAATTGCTTTGTAAAAGCCAACTTTAATTAAAAAAATATCTGTCAGAATGCCAACGTGAAAGAGCGGCCAACTGCTGGAAACAAGGTAAAGGTTCTATCTTAGTAAGAACAAATGACAGCTTACGTGAGTTTACAATCACTCTATCGGGACATCGCAAGGGCGTCTTGAGCTCTTGAGTATTAGCAAAATAACGCAAACTCAATTTTTTTGAAGACCGTAGCCATGATATATTTATCCGAAACAGACTTGGTCCAAGACTAACAAGAATGCTTGGTACTGAATTTTTAAATTTCATATAAATGCTCCGTAAAAGCAGATTAAGGACCGATCAGCTTAATGAAAACATTTACAAATATACTCATGGACAAATTTAGAGGAACGAAAAAAGAATATGAATAAAAGATTTGATTGTGATGTGCCGATACGCGGCGCGAGTAGGTAGGGGAAGTTCGGGTAGCCCCAGACACTAAAATCAATTGCAAATAAAAATATTAATAAACAAAATTTCTGTCTTTATTTTACACTTAAAGTAAAGCTAGGAACTTCTTTAATCATAATAATTAAAATTATAATCATACAATTTTTTTTAAAGAAATATATTGAAAATACTTTGGTCTCATTTTTTTGACGATACAAAAGACGGCGGGTAGCCCCGGACATAATAATCAATACTGGCCTAATCGTTTTTTGGCCTTACAAACATCACAATTAAAATAAACATCCGAAGAATCTATGTAAACACAGTCTTCATGGGCCCAGTTTTTGCATTCCTGGCACTGAATCCAGTCCTCTTCAAATGTTTCTCCACATATGATGCATTCGGTCTCTTCCTCTCCATTTTCTTTGGAAAGACTTTGAATATTTTTAGTTGTTTTTAACATCTTTTTTAGTGCCTTTACTTTTTTGGTTTTTCGCTTTTCTGTCTCTACTTTTCTGTCTTTCCTCTATATCTTTTTTGTAAGGTGATGATTTTATAATCTCGCTCCTTTGAGTTTTTCGAGCTATAACGACCGTTTTTTCGATGCATCAGGAAATAGTGATAGCTGTTACAATATATCTGTTGAGCTGGTTGAAGGCTCCGGTTCATTTGCAGGTAATGCATGACTAGTGGAGGGCACTGGCGAAGAATGTGCTACTGAGAACTGATTGGCCATATTTTCTTTGGAAGAAACTTCTTGCATCACATCTGTCACCATTGATGGTAAAAAATCAATGTCAGTAAATATTTCAGGGTTAAATGGATAAATTCCTGTGCACTTGAATCCGTTTTGTGCTATATCCAACCTTGCTGCTCTGCTAAAGGCTTCGTCCACAAGTGCAGCAATATCATAGTCAGTGATTCTAGCTGCAGGATTTCGCCTCATCCATGCTGAACTTGCAGTTGCAAATGCAGACTTAAAAGGTTTAAAAAGTGTCCTGTCCAACGGCTGCAATTTATGAGTTGTATGAGGTGGCGTGCTCAGCATATGAATGTGATGATTACGTGCATATTTTATAACTGCCAGCTCCTATGACTAGCGTGGCCATCCAAAATTAAGAGGACAGGATTTGTTTCTGTTGGCTGAAAATGTTGTTTAAAATGTTGCAACCATTGGAAGAACGCCTCACCGTTCATCCATCCGCTCTCTTGAGGAATAGCAATACTATCTGATGGAGCTCCTATCATCAAGCGACCATTATTATCCATTTTCTTCCGAGGAAAAATGACAAAGGGTGGTATGAAATGACCAGTGACATTCATTGCAAAAGAGTGATGTTTCGACCTCTTTCTGCAGATGTTAATTTACCAACCTGTTTTTTTCCTTTTATCGAAATGACTTTATCATTTTTATGCACATGTGATACCCCTGTTTCATCGGCGTTGTAAATTCTAGAAGGAGGGAATTTATATTTCTCTTGAAGGTGAATAAGCTGGCCAAAGAAACGGCTAACTTGTGGTTTGTTAAACCCAACAGCCCGCGCAATGCTAGTCGATTCGGGAGTTCTCAAAACAATATTCGGATATTTTTTTCTAAAACTGTAAAAAAGTCCTTTCCTGCGACTCCCTTCTCTTTATTAAATCTATGAAGGATATTGAGGTTTTCTGCCAAATCAAACGATAATTTTAAAAACTCCTTCCTACTCAATGGCATAAGACGATTGTCCAGTTCTTTAACGTGCTCATATAGTTGCATAGAAAAGTTTTCAGAAAATGTGGATTCAAATCGCCCCAACTTCGGGTAAAAAGCAACCTCTTTGCCACTTTTCAAAACTTTTAGGCGATCGTGAAGTGAGCTTCTTGGTACATCAAACCTGTCTGCCGCTTGTCTTACAGATAACTTGCCTTCCATCACATTTTTAACAGCTTCTTTCATTTTATTTTCGTCCCATTTTCCTCTATCGCTAATTTTTCCCTTAAATTTGGGCATATTTTAGATCTTTCTGCAACAATAGTAAAAACATTTTAAAATACTTTCCATAAAAAAGCAAACTGACAAAACAATTGTAATTTGTTGACACAATATTGCGAAATTCAAAACTTAAACCACTGTCTGGAGGTACCCGACATTATCGTGTCCGGGGGTACCCGATCGTTATCATGCAACATTTTTAAACACAGCTCTTAAATAGTTAAAAAATGTTTAAAATCCTGTTACAAACTTCAAATGTATAAAATTGGCTACAACATAAATAATAGACAAGTATACACACTTACGTATTGTACTTAGTAACCTTCAATGAAGTTTGACAGGAGCGACGAAGTTTTTTTGGCGGGAACAAAACACACACTCACGGGTAACTAGCTTGGCGGCCACACCGCAACTGAGTTGGATATGCTTTTGCTCCAGAGGGCGCGCATTTATAGTAAAGTTTTACCTACGCAACGTGTTTAGTTTCTATGTCCGGCGTTACCCGCCGTCCGGGGCTACCCGACTTTCCCCTACTTTCAAAAATGCTATCTGTTTCATACCGCTCGCTCTGCCTCTGCTTTGAGTTGCTAATCTGTCGCATGAGGATAGAGGCATATTGTTTCGGGCGATAACGTTTTCTCCCCCCTAAACCTTTACGAAATAAAACAATTTTAGTCTCATCAGATTCAATATATCTTAATCTAGGTCTGTACGTTTTTTATAGTATTAGGTACTTAGTTCAGTATATTATAATCATAAAAAATAAGAACGCTCAAGGAAACTTTTTTAGCCAAAAATATAGATATTTAGTTGCTAATAACTAATACCCTACGCAATAGTTCTTTGAAATAAAAAAATACGGACCTAGTTTTTCATTACGTCTATAACATTTTCAAAAGTTATATCCAAAATCTGTATAATACGAGATCTTGGGGGTCTTCTTTGAATATTCTTAGTTTACGATTAAATGGCGACCACGGGTCGATAGAGAATAGTGGATATTCTTATACCAATACTACAGTGAGCCGCAGTATTGCTACTCACTGTAGTGGTGGTATAAAAGTGGAGGTGGTATAAGATTTGGGAAATAAAAGGCAACTTTTTCATCAATGATACGATAGCCTAAATATTTTAAAATACATTTATAAAATGTCGGTTGGTGTTGGTTCGTATAAATATAAATTTGGAGTAAAGCCAAAATGTAGCGAGCGACAAACGCGCCGTGGTGAAAATTAAAATTAGGTAATTTATATTTACCTTCTTACGCAGCTCACTTAGTCTTAGCCAAATTCTCTAAACTCTCGACCATATTATATTTTTACATATTTTGCAAGAAAGCGAGGACAAATACTTAAATTGTATTAATTGCACAACTTAAGTATTTGTCACTTACATCAGTCTATGATAGTTTACATCTCAAGGTTTTTTTTTACGCCCAGAAGCAAAGTAAAAGGCTAGGGGAGGCGGGGGAGTGAGGTGGTGAATGCTCTAAGCATACCACGCGGCTGGCTACGTGGTTATGTGGGACTCACTGAGAAACCACACCCACTAAACACCACCAGAGAGTGGCTTTGACCTGGTAAGGTCTATCAACCGTATCGGAATCGGAAATCTCTTAGGGAAACAAGGTTCTCCGATTTAATTTATTGACTATGTATCTGTGCTATAAATTACCGTTTTATTACTGGTGAACAATATATAAAAAATAATAATATGGTTTATTATCGCTTATATATTATATATTAAAACTAATATGACACAGCATTACGCACAAAATTATACAAAACACTTAGAGTTCAGTCTTTAATATTAATATATACCTAATCAATTAGGTAGTTGACAACGTTATGAATAAATTATTACATTATCTCTTGTATTCCTTCTTTTGGAAGTCTCAAACCGTGGTGGGTTTTCTGTTTTAAGTAAAGATTACATACAACTACTATACGATTCTATGATGTCATACTTTTACTAGTGTGGCGGCGCTGTCGTCGCGTTTTTAATAAGTTATATACTACGCAATTGAATCTAATATTATTATTTTATAAAGTGACTAGAATAGTTTACAATTTTTACGTAGTTGTGAGTAGTAGTGTAGTTCACACTGCTTAATTTGTTTGCAGTATGGCTGAATCGGCTCAACCGGAAAATACCACGCTCGAACAATTTCATCATCATCATCATTACAGCCCTTCACAAGTCCACTGCTGAACATAGGCCTCCCTCAAGTAATGCCACAAAGCACGGTCCTGAGCCACCTGCATCCATCGACTTCCTGCATGTCTTACCAGGTCGTCACTCCATCTAGTGGGGGGAACATACATACATAATACATAAACACTCACGCCTGTCACCCAGAGGGGTAGGCAGAGACTACGGACTTCCATTTGGCACGATCCTGACATACCTCTTTCGCCTCCTTTACATCCATATATCTACGCATACATGCTCGTCGGTTAAGGGTACTTCTAACGTGGCCCCTTTTCAAAATATCGCCAATTTGGTCGATAAACTTTTTTCTAGGGCGTCCCTTCCCGACTCGGCCGTTCACATTGAACTGCCATATAAATTTGCTTTGTCACTCTTTCCTCATTCATTCTTTTTACATGACCAAACCACCGAAGCATTCCTTTCTTAATCCTGGTCACAACATCATCTTGCATACCACATTTATCTCTTATCACGCAATTTCTCACCCTGTCATTCAGATTCAACCCTAGCATACTCCTTAAAGACCGCATTTCTACAGCATTTATTCTACTTTCGTGCTTCTTCTGCCACACCCAGCTTTTACTACCATACATTAAAGTAGGGACTAACACAGCATTATGAATTACCATACGTGCCTTTTACACATTCTGGTTCTTCATAATAGAGTGTAGTGCCCCATTCACTCTATTCGCTGCATTTACTCGTCGTTCTATATCCCTATCATATCTACCATCCCTGCTAAATACACATCCCAAATACACAAACTCATCCACTTGCTCAATTAACTCTCCTTCTGTTCTTATTTCACATACCGTTTTGCTTTCTTCTCTTTCAAAAACCATCACTTTCATCTTACTTGCGTTCACTTTCATTCCCCTTTCTTTTAATTCCCAGTTCATTAATGTAACCATCATTTGCAACTCAGCCGCCGATGACGCAAATATGACTTGATCATCGGCATACAAAAGGCATTTGACGGTTAACTCGCCCATTCTTAACCCACATTCTTCATCTTTCAAAGTTTGCAAACACCTGTACATAAATAGGTTGAACAGCCAAGGGGAAGCTACACAGCCCTGTCTGACACCTTTTTGGATGCCAACCAGTCCGAGTAGACCCCATTGATCCTGACACAAGCACTAGTCTCTATAAAGAGACCTTAATGCCTGTATCAAACCAACGCTCAACCCATATGAGTTCAGTGTTTGCCATAACACATTCCTGTCCACTCTGTCATAAGCCTTTTCCAAGTCCATGAACGCACAAAAAACTTTCTGGTTTTTGGCCAAAAACTTCTCCGCAATCATGCGCATGGAAAAGACTTGATCTGTACACCCCATTCCCTTTCTAAAACCCGCTAGCACATCCCAAATTTTTCCATCAGTTTCTTTCATAACTCTTTCATTTAACACCTTAGCATACAGTTTACCCACAATAATAAGCAAGCTGATACCACGGTACTTTTTGCAGTCCTGCTGTGACCCTTTTCCTTTATATATTGGTACTATAACTGCTTTACACCAGTCATCCGGTACCCGTTTTAATTCCCAACATAAATTAAACAAGGTGTACAGCAGGCCTGCCACCACTCCCTCTCCAGCCCTTAGCATCTCGAGTGATACTCTATCATATCCAGCTGCCTTACCTGCTTTCATACTTTTCATTGCTTTCATTATTTCATCTACACTTATCTCCATACCCCTTTCCACTTCTTTCGGAATTTATAGTTCATTTAATTCAGACGACTCTTCACTCATAAACACGCTTTCAAAGTATTCCTTCCATCTGTTTAAATTCGAAGCTTCATCATTCAGAATACATCCATTCTCGTCTCTTATAGCATTCATTATAGGCTGTTTTGTATTTCCCCTGGCAGTTCCTACGAGTTTCCAGAACATTTTTATGTTAGCCTGGAAATTATCAGATATCCTTCTATCATTCTTATCCGTTCTTTCTTTCTTTTTCCTTTCAACAACTTCTTTTACTCTCTTATTTAGACGTCTAAATTCTGCCTTTTTTCTTTCAATCTCATCATTCATACCAGAAGAATTACCAGCTTTGGTTGCTAGTAAATCTAACCATGCTTTCTTCTTTGATTCAACTTCCACCCGTATCTCATCATCCTACCACAACGTATTACTTTTCCTTTCATTTGTTCTCTTACTTACACCACATACTTCAGTGGCGGCATCCACCAAACCTTTCTTAATATTGTCCCACACAGTATTCAAGTCTAAATCATTCATACACAACTCATTCAAACATCTAATATTTCCTCTCAGTCTACATTTATACTTCTCTTTCACATCTTCATCTTGTAACGTCTCTATTCTTATACGCTGTAACGCAGTGGTAGACACAGATGTCCGATGCCGCCAACGCTTGAAAAGACCATTAATTCGACATAAGACCAAGTAATGATCCGTCCCTACGTTGGACCCCCGGTAAACCCTTTGTATCTACGACTGCGCTTCCTCATTCTTTCATCCACAATTACGAAATCTATCATGCTTCTATCATTACCTCTTTCCCATGTATACATGTGAATCTTCTCACCCCCCCCCCCCCATAGTCCCACCATCCTACTTTCCCCCTAACTCTCCACATCTACCCCCCTCTCCTTCCACACATTGACCCATTCTTTCTGAAAGGATGAAACCGACACCCTGGCATGCCCGTTCGGTCTCGTCTACGCCAGACCAATACGCGGTATACGTGCCATGTGCAGTGGCATCCTTTCCCTTTCGTTTCGTCTCATTCACACATAACACATCTATTCCTCTGTCATTCATCATTTCGCATACTTC